AACCTGGCCACCTGCAGCCCGCATCACGGCCCCTCTTTGTCTCTCAGGGCACCTGAACATCGGTCTGCTGGACTTCCTGCTCTTTGGCAGCCTGATCGCGGCTGTGGACCCTGTGGCCGTCCTGGCCGTGTTCGAGGAGGTGCATGTCAACGAGGTTCTCTTCATCATCGTCTTTGGGGAGTCGCTGCTGAACGATGCTGTCACTGTGGTGAGTGGGCTCAGGCTACCGTCTGGCCCGGGACCGCGGTGGGGCTGCAGCCAGTGCCCCAGCTCCCTGAGTGGACCGCACAGTGGCCCTCCCAGTGGCCCTTCACCTCTGCGTGCTCTGTGCTGACCTCCGTGTACAGACCACCCGCCGCTGTGCCATGCAGAACACTAGGTCCTGCTCTTGGGCAGTTGGACGTTCTTATTGACACAGTGGGCACTGCATCAGGCTGAAAGATCAGCAGTTCAAGCCCACTATCCCCTCCCAGGAGGAAGATGGGTGTCCCTCTCCAGGGATGCACAGCCTCGGACACCTGGAGGAGGGCCCTGGTGAATCAGAGTCCACCTGGGCTCTCACCACCCTGAGGAACACAGTGGTGCCGTGGGCCTAGCGCTGGGCTGCTATGGAGCTTTGAACCCACCACTGCCTGTGTTCCAGGGAACGAGGGCCTTGGAAACACTGTGGGCGGTTAACCGGGAGTAGAATCCAGAGGGCTTCTCCTGATGCTGTGGGTAAAAGTTTAACCAAGGGTCAGAGATGTCCCGCGGAGGACGAACAGGCACTGACAGAGCACAGACAGACATCCACCCATCAGTGAAGGAATAGCACTAACACCAGAGAGGCAAGGAGGCTGTGAGGTCTGACCACAGGCTGCCATTCTTGGGTGGAAAACTTGAGTTGACTGTGGCACAGAACTGTAGGGCTGAACAGGCTAGTTTTGGTCCAGAAGCTTCTAGCTCCTTCCAGAACAATCTCTAAGCTCACTTGTCTGGAGCCTGGTCCCATTGACTGTTACTGTCTTGTGATAATTCCCTCCCCTCCCCCCACCCCCGGCCCAGCAGCTTCTAGTTTCAGGTACTCAATGCTGTGACATCTTGTCCAGACTCTGATAGCTACAGCAGCCGGTGTCGCTGTGGCAACCTGTGGCAACCCGGTCATCTCTGGCCTTCTCTCCCTTCAGGTTCTGTACAACGTGTTTGAATCTTTCGTGACACTGGGTGGTGAGAACGTGACCGGTGTGGACTGTGTAATGGGCATAGGTACGTGGTTAAGAGTCTTGGGGCCTTGCGCTCAGCTGGACCCCCAGCCGCTCTGAATGGCATGCAGAGAGATGAGCGTGTTGCCCAAGTCCCTGTGGGATCCCATTCATCAGAGCCATAAACTGCCCCCTGAATTCCCACTATCCTGGGACTAGAGGAGAGTGGGGCCCTAGGCCCACAGGCCATATGCCCTGTGCTGGGCCAGGTCAGTGTAGAATAGCACCTTGTCTGGAGCTGGTGGCCATGCCCGGGGGCTGGTGTGTCTGAGGACTGGGAGCATGTACAGGGCTGGTGGGCGTGCCTGAGGGTTGATGGGCGTGTCCGACTGATGGTGGGTGTGTCTGAGGGTTGATGGGCGTGTCCGAGTGGTGGTGGGTGTGCCTGAGGATTGATGGGCGTGTCCGAGTGGTGGTGGGCGTGTCTGAGGCCGATGGGCTTGCCCGAGGCTAGTGGGACTGTCTGAGTAATGGTAGGCGTGTCCTAGGTGGTGGGCGTGTCTAAGTGCTGGTGGGCATGCTCGAAGCTGGTGGGCGTGGATGAGTGCTAGGGGATGTGGAAGGGTTCAGTCCTGGGACAGCTCAGCAGTCGTAGGAGGCGCCCACCAGCTCTAGGACATGTCCTCCAACCCTCAGACTCACCCTGGCCTTGGACGCACCTCCAGTCTGAGGGTCGGCCTGACACGGCTTGTGGGAGCGCCGAGGCTGGTGGGAGTGTCTGAAGGTTTGTGGGCGTGTCTGGGAACTAGTGGACAGTCTGAGGCTGGGCGTGTCTGGGAACTAGTGGGCAGTCTGAGGCTGGTGGGCGTGTCTGAGGGCTTATGGGCGTGCCTGAGGCTGGTGGGAGTGTCTGAAGTTTGTGGGCGTGTCTGGGAACTAGTGGGCCGTCTGAGGCTGGTGGGCGTGTCTGAGGGCTTATGGGCGTGCCTGAGGCTGGTGGGCGTGTCTGAAGGTTTGTGGGCGTGTGTGTGGGAGCTGGTGGGCGTGCCTGTGTGCTGATGGGCGTGTCCAAGGGTTTGCTGGCGTGTCTGAGAGCTGATGGGTTAGGGTTAGGGTTAGGGTTAGGGTTAGTCTGGGAACTAGTGGGCAGTCTGAGGCTGGGCGTGTCTGGGAACTAGTGGGCGTGTCTGAAGGCTTGTGGGCGTGTGTGGGAGCTGGTGGGTATGCCCGGGTGCTGGTGGGCATCGAAGGGTTCTGTCCTGGGTCATGTCCGCCATGGGTAGTACATGCCTACCTACCCTCAGACTCACCATAGCCTTGCACAGTCTGAGGACTGGAGGACCTGACAAAGCTAGTGGGTCTGTTAGAGCGGCAGGGGCGTGTCTGAGGGCTGATTGGCAAGTCCACAGATCAGGTGCATGACCAAAGCTGGTGGACATTTCAGCTCAGGTGATGTTTATCCCCACAGTGTCCTTCTTCGTGGTGAGCCTGGGGGGCACGCTGGTGGGGATCATCTTCGCTTTCCTGCTGTCGCTGGTTACACGTTTCACGAAACACGTTCGGATCATCGAACCCGCCTTCGTCTTTGTCATCTCCTACCTGTCCTACCTCACATCTGAGATGCTGTCCCTGTCGGCCATCCTGGCGTAAGTAAGGGTGCCTGTGCCCCAAATGTGGATATGAGGGGATCTGGCGCCTCGTGAGGGCCCGGCAGGATGGACAGCCAAGGTTGCATCTTCAGTGCTGTGCCAGAGACATCCACCAAGAAGTCCAGAGGAAGGGCTGGCGCTGGGCAGGCTAGTCTACCCGGTCAGTGGACAGAAGAAGGGTGCTTCCCAGTGGCCTCGCTGCCCACCCCAATCCCATTGAGAGAACACACCAGTTAACAGACGGTCAGACACTGGACAGAGTGTTCCATCACGGCCCTGCACTCACAGCTGCACTTCCCAACTGTCTGTGGACACTGGGAGGGAATGGCCTGGGCTTGCAGGAGCGAGAGTTCTCACTCTAGAGGGCCTGCTGGAGATCATAGGTGCACCCCAGTCCTCAGGGCAGAACTTCCTGGGTACACCCCACAGTCAGTGCACTTTGAAACAGACACCCCATTCTGTAACACTGGTTATGGAGCTCGAGGCAAGAGTCCTGGCCCAGGTGGACAGCTCCCATCTGCCCATTAGGAATAAGATGACCAGGGCAGCCCCCAGGGCAGGTGGACAGACACCTCCAACACCTCACCTGCCTGAGGTTGAAGATGGGTAGACCTCACTTACTCAGAGGGCCTTGAGGGCTGTCTGGCAGCTCCCTCCCCAACACGCAAGCTGGGAAGCAGCTCTGGGAGGTGGTGGCCTGAACATCAGGGCCAAGGGCACAGAGAGCAGGCCAGCCACTAGTGGACATCAGCTTTGGAGAGCAGGACTATGATGTGACTGGCCAGGCCATGGGACCCAGGCCCAGAAGGTGGGCTGCTGGAGCAGCCCATATAGGAATGGCCAGGCTGGACCACAACTCTCATCCTTCCACCCAGGATAACGTTCTGTGGCATCTGCTGCCAGAAGTATGTGAAAGCCAACATCTCAGAGCAGTCGGCTACCACGGTGCGTTACACCATGAAGATGCTGGCCAGTGGGGCCGAGACCATCATCTTCATGTTCCTGGGCATCTCGGCCGTGGACCCACTCATCTGGACATGGAATACAGCTTTTGTGCTCCTGACACTGCTTTTCATCTCTGTGTACAGAGCCATCGGTGAGAATGGGCAGGTGGTGGTGGAAGCTGGCACAATGGAGGGCAATGAGGAGTGTTATAGGTGGTGGACAAGCATAGAATGTAGTCTTGAGTGATGGATAGTGGGATGCAGCTGGTGACAGTGGCTAGTGGAGGGTGATGGAGGGAGAGTGGTGGAAGGCAATAGTGATGGTTTGAGAGTGGTGGAAGGTGATGGTGGAGGACAGTGGAGGGGGAGGGGTGGAAAAAGATAGTGATGGAAGACGGTGGAGGGAGGAGTTTTAAGGTGATGGTGATGGAGGAGGGAGGAGGTCTAAGGTGATGGAGGATGGTGGAGGGAGGAGGTTTAAGGTGATAGTAATGGAGGGCAGAGGAGGGAGGGTTGGAAGGAGAGGACAACGGAAGATGCTGGAGGGGGCGGACATAATAGTAATGCAGGATGATGGACGTTGTTGGAGGGTGGTGGAAGGTTATAGTGATGGGGTGATAGAGGACTTTGGAGAGTGGTAAGAGAGGCAGGTGGTAGGAGGTGAGGCAGTTGGGAGAGAGTGAGGTGGGTGGTGGGGCCCATGATTATGAGATGGTTGTAGAGGGCAAGCTGGATGGTGGAGGGGGAGGTGGGTGGTTAGGGGAGGTGAGACGGGTAGTAGGGCCTGAGGAAGGTGAGACAGTGTTGGAGGGGAAGGTGGGTGGTGGCTTCAGGAGCAGGGGGGAGGATGCTGGCCAGAGCACAGTGGAGAGCTGCTGGGGCAGCCGCGTGGGCTCGACCCGCACTCTGTCCTCCTGGGCTCATGGCTGACACGGGTCAGCGCAGCTCTGAGGGTCAGGCTGGTGTCCCAGAGTATCTTGGAGAGTCTGCTTCCTCACCAAGGGGTAGGGAACAGCTCCAGCCGGCGCCTGGCCACGTGTCCTCACGTCACCCGACCCAGTGTGTGGGCACCACAGGACAAGAGTGTCCCCAGAGCTGAGCCCCTCCTCTGTGGCACCAAGGCTGCTGGGGAAATAATGCCTTGGTCAGCCTGGGCTCTGGCCGCCCCCGTGCCATGGCATCCAGGGCTGACAAAGGCTCTCAGTGAGGGATGGGATGCAGGGTGGCCCTGTGCTGCGGCCACCCCAGGCCCGCATCTGTGTGGAGGAAGCCCTGGTGATGGATGTGGGGGTGACTGTGGCCTGAGGGGCAGGGTGGCCCCAGGCCGGGGTGAGCAGGGCCCCCGCAGGGCTTCCAGTGTCACCAGACTCCTAGGCCAGTCGGAACCCACCCACATCTGGGCACTGTCTCCCAGGGGTCCTGCCAGGGAGGGAAGGACCACATGTCTGGATGCCTGGAAGAAAGTACACCGATCGTCTTGTGGTCGGCTGGACACCCTAGGTAGGCTGGGCTGTTCCAGGGTCCTGCCTGTACTCCCAGCTCCAGTGCTCCATGGTGTCTTTTGCCACATCGTCTCCCTGTCCCCATCTGTCCTCTGGACGAACAGCACTCATCTGGGATCAGGACCCTCCAAGGAGCCTTTGGTGGCACAGTTGGGACTTGGTCACATGAATGTTGTTGGTGTGAAGGGCTGTGGCTTTGCCAAGGTCAGCTCTTGCAGTGTCCTCCACAGAGATTTCATGGTGACCAGTCGGGAGTCCTACTTGGGGCGCACAGGACTCGGACCTCTGGTGTGGCCTCAGGGGTACAGTGCATGATTGTTGACCAAGAGGCCAGGGTTGGCGCCCTCCGGCTGGTTTCCTTGGAAGGACACGAGGTAGCCAACTGCTGTGACAGTTCTGTTCCTGGATGCTGCGATGATGGTGGCTGGGGACCCCTGTTGGTGCTCTGACCATGGGTGGGGCCACTGAGAGTTTTGAGGCCTTTGGTGTGGCCTCCTGGGAAGGGGCAGCAGGCAGCCTGAGAGACCTCAGGCAGCAGCCTTGTCTGGGTGCCTGCGGGGCTGCCCCAAGGGACCTGCTCTAGCTCTGAGGTGGGAGCCACACAGCTGAGCACACTGCCCCACAGGTGTGGTCCTGCAGACCTGGGTGCTGAACCGGTACCGGATGGTGCAGCTGGAGGTCATCGACCAGGTGGTCATGTCCTATGGTGGCCTGCGGGGGGCTGTGGCCTATGCCCTCGTGGTTCTCCTGGACGCGAACAAGGTCAAAGAGAAGAACCTGTTTGTCAGTACAACCATCGTTGTAGTGTTCTTCACCGTCATTTTCCAGGTGAGAGAGCCACTAGCCAGCCAGCCCTTCAGGCCCAGCCCAGTGCTGAGGGGTCCCCTTGCAGGCTCAACCTAGTATTGAGGGAGTTCCCCTAAAGATTCTAGCCCAGCAGTAAGGGGTCCCCTGGAGACCCAGGCCAGCCCTGAGGGGCCCCTGCTGACCGTAGTCCAGAGTTCTCTAAAAGGGTTCCCCTGGAGACACAGCCCAGTGCTGAGGGGTCTGCTGCAGATTCCAACCCTACAGACCCCAGTCCAACATTCTAAGGGGTCCCCTGCAGACCCTAGCTTAGCACTGAAGGAGTCCCCCTGCTGACCCCAGCCCAGTGCTGAGGGGTTCCCTGATGACCCAGTCCAGTACTAAGGGGGTCCCCTGCTGACCTCAGCCACTCCTGCCCATGATGTCCACTCCACTGGTCCCTGCCTCCAGGCGTCAGTCTGGAGCCAAGGCCTGAGGGAGGCAGTGGGGACCATGGGGCCTGAGAAGGGCTGGCCTAATTGGAATTTATAATTTTAGTAACAGGAGCGTTGGTTGGTCCCATGCCCCACACCCCCAGGCCCACAGGGGCCTCGTTTGTCCTAGAATGTTCTTCCTGGGGTCGCTGATTAACGAGGGCTGGTTAATGTTACATTGGCAGTTCAGGCTCGCTGGTTGGCCCCACTGCCCTTCCTGACCCCAGAGTGAGCTGCTGGGTGCCTACCCCTTGGGTTGCCTCCCTAGGGTTATCTCCCAGGAGCTGACCGAAACTGGCCTGTGGACCCTGAAGCCACTCGCCAAGGGCTCTCACACAAAGGGGGCTTATGGGGTTTCTGCAGGGGCCTAATGGAGGCCTGCTTCTAAGGGTCACAG